GTTCCCCCTCTATGACCACTTCCCCCTCCATGACCAGTTCCCCCTGACCAGTTCCCCTCCATGACCAGTTCCCCCTTCATGACCAGTTCCCCCTCCTGTAATGTGGTGTCCAGAACCCCTCCTCCTTTGAATTTCCACATTCAGATAATTTTATGCTTTGGTCATCTCCCATCCCTTATTCGCACGCCACCTTGCTTTCTGTATGCAAACAATGCACAGACTGACAGATATGTGCATGCACATGTACATACTGGTACATGTACATGTACTTGGTACACTCGTATACATCTGTGCTTGGTACTGTACACATATCCATGTAGGTGTCCATTTAGACTGTCTGTCCTGACAGCAAACCTTGTATCCTTCCACATACATGTATACCGGTACCCGGAAGCCTCTCAAGGATTTTTTGCAGTGTTTGAAGATGGTGGTGTAATAGGGCCAATTCAATGGTGTCACAACTGATTTGCATGACGGGGCTACGTACAGTACATGTACAGCTACGTACATGTACATACATGTACATGTACATGCTGGTATGTGCTGACCAGTGCATTAATTGGCAAACTTGTCTGGAGACACAGAGTTTGACTCTTTGGCTTCATGGAGGAGGACAGCAATGAAGGATTTAAACGTACGCTGTGGATGGTTTCAACGATTCCTTCCTCTTCTTTTTGAGAGAGTTCTACTGTGTGCATCCTACTGCATACACTCTACTGCAGGAACAAACTGTGATAAGGTTTCCCGCCTTCGTGTCGCCAACTGTATCTAGCCCTTCTGACCCCATACATGTTGCAGGACACTAAATATCTTCAATTACAATTTACAATGCACCCGGTGATGCCGCACTACACTGTAGTTCATTCAAAGATTCAAAATACTTTATTGTCGAGTAAAAAAAGTTTTCATAGGAAATTTGCTCTCCCACTGTTGCAGGAAATAAAATTACAGTATATGACATAAATTTTGAAAATAAAATTACCAAGTTCAAAGCTTTAATGAAAACCAGTTTCAAAAATATTAAATTCAATTACATTATGTTACACTACAGATAGGTCATTTAGTAACGAAAAAGATATTAATTCAGAAGAAGGGGAAAAGCATTCAAGGCTGCAACCACTCTGGTACATGTACAATTGTACATGTAAATGTTCGTGAGCGATGCATCTTAAGCGTGTCACCAAGGCCTCTTAGATTTGAAACAAAACTGACCTTTTGCGGGGATAAGATCGCTAAACCTCCCTTTACTCAAGAAATCTACAGGAACAAGCAAGCGTGCATCAGTATCTCAACAGATCACATACAAAATCTGGACTTCCGGGACAGGCCTGCGTCTAGAAGCTTCATGCCTCGTACTGGTACTTTTATTTCGGGCCCGTTGCCATGGCAATTCGAGATGATGCACAGGTATTAGTTATCATAAATTTGGATCGAGCTCAGTGCTGTAGTGCTTTGCGGGGTGCACTGTACATGACCACACATGTACAGCGCCATGTACACCTCTATACTCTTATGTGAAGCCACATACATGTGTACCTCATGGTTCAAAATGCCCACAGAACTAGACTCCTCCTAGATGACTGGTGGCAGTATAAAGTCATACATGCAGTTGCACACTTGTCTTTTTTGAAAGTTTGCATACATGTCCACGTACATGTACGTATGCATTTTGTCTAAAGATTCTCATCAGCACTTTGACTTTGGGACCCTACAGGATGACGATACAATCAGAGTTGCTCTGCACTGTACGTACATGTACAGTACATGTACTTTGGGGGGAAAAAGACACTTGAAATTTGATTTCCTGTGTGGGACTACTGTTCTGTCCTGGACAGGAAATGGCAACATATGAGAAAAGGCAAAGAAGAATAGAAAGACAGACCAGACACACACACAAATCATGCCAGCCAATATTTCAAGTGGGGAATGGCTAGTGGAAAATCTTGACGGCCGAGCTTACCTGTGGTAATTTTGCTGACGGATGATTTATAGGGGTTGCGAGTTAGCATCAGCGGTCCATTTGGAGCAGGCGGATGGTTTAAATTCCAACAAGGCCGGGCGCGGCAGCCTTCACAATTTGTGGTTTTTCTCGGTATGGTGTGCTGCAAGCAGACCACTTCGTCGTCACTGTCAACCCAAACCTGTAAACAAATAAGGGAAGATGGTAGGGAGCATTCTCATGAAGTCTGGCGCCAAATGTTCATTTAAGGATGGGACGGGGGAAAAAACAATGTACGACACTACAGTGTGCAGTCCAGCAAATTCACTCCAGTGGCAAAGTACTCTGCATTCTTCCCAACCATGAGCAATTTTGGTATTGCCATTACAATTAATGTGCAACCTCAAACCTGCCATTTTTGCAACACCTAAAACAAGATCATGGCAGCATTAAGGTCCAGAACACAACACCAACGGAAGGGTTTCATCAAGCATACCGGTAACTAGACGATTCCACCTGAAAAACTACTTTGCACCAATTACAGACTAACATCAATAGGGGAAGATGTTACTGGTTAGGCCAAAACCTACATGTACACTCAAAACAGTGGGTCGCACACGTACATGTACACAACGCCAACTTTTACTGGCATCGCATGTTCGTGTGTGTAGTTAAAGGATTTTTTTTCCCCTCCTTCTGCCCATGACACATTCTGCGCATTCTCTTGTTTAAACAATCCTTGGACATGCCACAATTACATTTGTGTACACTGTACCAGGGGCCGTGCGTACTGCATATGTTGTACATGACGTGTGCAGTACAGGGGCCCAGCCTGGAAATTTATGTACCGTGATGAAGTAACAATCAAAGTTTATACGCAGTGCTTAACAAACTGACAGAGCTGCAATCAATTTTTCTGAGACAATTTTTTTTTCCACTATTTATGATCTTCTTTACTGTACATGTATGAGGATTTCACATTCCCCTTCAGGTTACATGTACATGTAAGTGTATCTAAAAATGAGGTAATCCAGGCCTGCAAAATTCTAAAGAAAAAAAGAAGCAAAAGCAACAAATGTTGCCGTTTTTGTGTGTGCACAAACCAATGTACTTGTACATACATGTACATGTAAATAACATTGAGCTCTTCTTCCCAGGGTGACACCACAGACCGAGTACGGCTCTTGAATATGGAAATCTCCTCAGCATAAAAACCAAACAGGCAGCAAAAATATACCTAACCTTTAACAGAGACATAAGAACGCGATTAAAGTTGACTGATATACTCACGTGATGTACTGTACAGTAACAGTGCATTATGAAGGTTTGCATTACGCAGACCACAGAAAATTGAAAACAGTGTTTCATCTCCAGTTTCTTGTGAATGTTTATGATGACCAGAGTCTGTATTAAATATTCACTGTTTGGAGACACGGTCACTGGGAGCTGGAGTCCATATGCAAGTGAGGGTACATGCGCACGTATGTACACGTATACATGTACCACTTCAGCTGGTGGACATGTTCAATCTGTCTCTACAATTTGCAGCTTGAGCAGGTGTGACATTGGATGAAGTGGCTGCCTGACCATGGACAGGCTCTATATATGGCCCCAGTGAAGACCGACCACAAATGGCTATCATCAGCGTGTGGGGAAAAAACAAACAAACCAATGCACTGGGACTTGAGTTTGAGATGCAGAAGAGCACAAACAAGGTCTTCTTTCTTTTGAAGCAAGTTCGGCATGTTAATTTCTCTCAGTCAGTTCTCCATGGGAGGAATTTCCTCCATGGTTTCTCCCAACACTACTGGTACTATGTACATGTACTAGAACATACAGTGTACATGTACACTATACGGTAGCCCTATCTTACATACTTGTATGTGCATCCTGCAAGTGTAGTGCTGCATGGCAGGCTAATTCTCATGCAGCTAAACCACCACAAAACCTACATGTACATGTAGAATCTCAAAGATCTGAAAGTCTGATGTATGGTGCTGTGCATGCTCTGAATGATGGGTTTTATTGGGGCATGGAGGAAGGAGTGTCCCCTCCTTCCTCCATGATTGGGGGAGGGGCGGACAGCAAGAAATTGATTTCATGGCACGTATTCACACTTACATTGGGCATGGAGGTAGAATCCATGCATCGGGGAAGGAGCAAGAAACCAAGCAAGAAATATGCGTCATTAAAAACAGTGCTGTTTGAAGTCCAACATGTTGACATCATGCAAAAGCACTGCACAAGGACCAGAACATGTTACTAGTATATTGTCAGTAGTACCCCTGGTACAATCTCTAATGAATTCAAATGCATGCTTGCCACATGCAAGTACATGTACATATGTACACATGTACAGATGCCTATTTACATGTATGTACAAACTAGTGCATGTACATTATAATACGTAACAAGTTCACAGTAGCGATGACCAATTCTGCAGTGACTGGTCACAGTGTTCCAATAAGTTTTGTACAACATGTACACATGTACATGTAACCTAGTACTGTCTATACAGTGTACATGTACATTTACATGTACTTGAACTGTACAGTGTATGTCCTACAAATGTTCACTTACATGTACATGTATGTTACCTGTGCACAGTACATGTACACTCACTCAAATACATACATGTACATACCCGTACATACATGTACAGTTGGAAATAAAATCAAGTAGTGACGCTGCAATTCCTTCTTGAATTTAGTTGACAGGTCTGGCACACCCTGACCTCAGGGTTAACCCAGACCTTTGGGTTATGAGGACAGCTATCTTTCAGTAGTACTAGGTGAGTGTAAATGTGCATGTATATGTACTACGGCTACTGAGCATTTTTGGGAACCGGATTTTTTTTTCCTCGGGTCTTTGGAAACTTTTCACAGGTAGCAGTGCCAGCACCATATAAGCAGAGCTGTACGGTATTCGACAGAGAGAGTAACACCAATGTCAGATTTGGGGACCAAAATGGCTGTTCATTATGTGTGCAGTGCAGATTATGCAGCTATTCATATGCTAACTGTTCATGTGCACCGATGCACAATCCACCATATTGGTTCCATCAATCGGAAACACTCATGTTACAACTCTCTTTACAAACAGCTCTGCGTATAAAGGAATAAGCCATGTACATGTACATGTATGTGTCATCTTGAGGGTAAAAAAATTATATCCTACCTCAATGAAGTTAACACTTTTTGTTACACTTTGCAGCTACTTATACAGAACCGTATGCAAGTCGAAACGGACAAAAGTTCAATATGCAACTTCTTTCAAAAAAGACACAGATTTAAACCACTGAAATACAGTTTACGCACCCTTTGACAATCAGTAAGCATTCCCTCGGACACCAGATTGAAACGTTACACTATACCGGTCCATGTACATGTATATGCTCAAGATCTGCTGTGGGGACGTTCAAGCACCACAACTCAGAAAGCGGTACTTGTATGGAGTACGTGCATCACCCCTTCTTCACATATGTGATATGGCAGGCAGCATGAGTGACATGCACATACATGTATACTCCATATGTAACTTATTTACGTCACACTTGGTTTGATGGGTGAGACATGTGGCCATTCTCGGCACACTCCGCCACCGAAACACCAGTATCCCAGACACATAACAACCTGTGCATACACATGTATAGTGTACATGTATACTGTACATGTATACTGTACATAAACACACAAGCTTCCATCATGTCCATCCAGGTCCACAGAATTCCAGGGTCAAACTTGTTTATCCTCTCAAATAAAAAAAAACCTGCTTCCGGAACCTTCCTTAAATCAAATTGATCCTTCCACGCAAGGTTCACGATCTTTCCAACAACAACAGACTTTTAACCTTTTTCTGTAGGAGTTCAGTGACACAGACGCTACTGAACCCCCGACATTGCCATAAAAAAACCGGAATACATTACATGCACCTGGATAAATTGCTGCATATTAAAGTACACGTACAAGAAGCTTTTTTTTTTCTAGTGGAGGTGCTTGTTTCCTTTTGGGGGGCGGGAGGGGGGAACTTGGAAGGAGTTGGTCCAATGATCTGAATACATGTACATCGAGGGGCCTGATGTGAGATCAGGTCGCCTCGTCATGTTGTGCTGGCCAGTCTTGGTTCGTAAAGATGACGGTCGAGACCGTCCATCGGGCAGAGGAGTTCGTCTGACAGCTGTAGTTCATGTCCTGTGGCGGTCAGTGTAGCTGGCCTGGGAGGCATGGGGCCTTCCCGGTGTGTAGACTGGTGAGCCATACCATGAATACACGTATTCCATGGTAGGTGCTGGTAGGGAGACTGCCAGAGGACTACAGAGCACGGGAACTGGGGGTGCACGTCAAACGCTCAGACTCGGCTAACGAGGGAGTAAGTTTACTCGCCCCAATTGCAGTGCCAACGGACAGAGCCACCATGATCCAGGACATGATCCGGAGCCAGGTCCCGCTGGGGGAAAGGCTCTGATGGCTGGACAACAGAGACCACTTCAGCCTCCGAGAACGTCCCTTGTGAGGGAGGAGGGACGGCCGGGGGGGGGTGGGTCAAGATCGGAGCGGCATTTCTTCTGAGCCTTGGACAAGGAAGAAGAAGTCAGAAAGATGTCTTGGCCTTGGGCTCCTTAGCCTTCACCAGTGCGGGGGGGCCGGAAGCTGGGACGGTTGGAAGTACAGCTGTACGTATGGAAAGGCGCCTTTACAGTACCGCACTACCGATGCACACTGACAGTATGAGAAGTACAGATACCAGTCTATGTACTGTACACTTTGCCCGGCAGGACCACGCATAATAAGGTGCATAATGTACATGTTGCTCTTGGGTCATGATCGCGAAGGCGTGAAAAATACAAATCTTAATCAAACCAAATGTATATGAAATAAAGAACAGCATCAAGCCTGCACCCCCAAATGATTCAAAGTATCGTAGATGCAAGGTCACACATGTACATTGTACACACAGTACCAACATGGTACACATGTAGATGTACATGTAGATATAATATGGCACACACATGTATAAAAAACATTGGGCCGGTCAACCGAGATAACACATAAAAAATAAACATGTTACACTTTGTAGTTATGTTTTCTGCCTGTGTGGTTAAGCTTGAACCTGGCAATCAAAAGTGAACTGCACTGATGAAGTGATACACAGTGCACATAGGATTTTAAGAAGCAAAACAAACACCAGTAGTGCTTGTACAAA